GTCCCTTATAATGTCCTTTAGGCAAAAAAAAAAAAAGTCCACATTTTGTGTTGACCATAGATAAATTTAAACACATTAATTAGGTCTGAATACATTTGTTAACTTATTGTTAACTTATTATTTCAAGTAAAAAAAATTCCAGTCCCTTTTAAAGTGGCCTATTCTTGAACCCTCTCTAAAACTTGTACATCCTTTGTGCTGGTCACATTATTGATGAAACAGGCACCTGGTCATGTGATCCATACTTGCAAACATTTTATTCCCTTGGAAACAGTTAGCCCCGTCCACAGTCTGCTTCAAGTACAACCATTGACCATGTGGTCCATCCCAGGTAGACCCTTCGGCAAGGCAGTGCAAGTTTGTAGGACCCTAAATTCAGACCATGATTCTTCTCCAAACCTGTGTCCTGTCCGGGCAGCAGGTCTGGAGGTCATAGAATGGCTGATCACACATCTTCCTCTGGCAAAGCCTAGAAGTCAAGAGAGCTTCCAGAAGGTTTCTCAAATATTTATACACTTTTCCTGGCAAGCATCACCAACAGTAAACCTCCTAGTAGTTGGTCAGGGAGGTGTAAATTTTCATTTTATTGGATCTTGCCAGGGATACTTCCCAACAGAATAAAATTTAGGATAGGTACACTCCAGCTTAGGGCAGTGTTTAAACAAACAAAATCGGACAAAAGTGTTAACTCTCCAGCACCTCGAAGGAGCCAATATCAGGGAGAGGCCAGGTTATTGGGTGTGAGAATGACCTATGGATAAAGTTCTGGAGATGCAGCCCTCAGATGGGGAGATGAACAAACTGGAAGAAAGCATACAGGTGGCGCAAACATCTAGCGCATTATCCAAGGTTTCTAAAAAAATATATAAAAAGGACAAAACACATACTCACAAACAACGCACATATTTAAAGCCTGTAAGGCCACAGAGATGGCCACAATGACAGCAGAGTGTCCGACTGGTGGTACCGTCGGCCTTCTGATGCGTTTCGGGGACGTTTCCTTTTCCTCAGAGCTATAACCAACCTAGGTTGGTGCCCTACTTTATATGTGTGTAACCAGTACCGCCTATAATAAAACCCCTCCCCTCAGACCCAAAGGAGGAGGGGATCATAAAAGTTAGTTAAAACAATGTATGCAGACAATTATTACATGGATAGTGCAGATATGTACTCATCTATTTAAATTTATATGCACTATCCATGTAATAATTGTCTTTTTATATATTTTTTGGATAATGCGCTGGAGAAAGAGCCATACAAGGGATCAGTTCCAGTAATTGCCCCCCACATGCTGATTACCCTCACTGTGCACTATACATTTACCCCTGCTGCCCAGACACCCCCCCCAACTCCCGCAGTGTTGCCGGCTTCCCTCCTCCCCTTCCCACCGGAAGCTGCAAGCACACCATAGGATCCTTCAGAATGGAGAGTGGTAGAACGGTCCAGTAAATATGTAATATTTATCAGCCGACTCCTTTCCTGAATGAACACAATGAGTGATTGTTACTGATCACGCACTGTGTTCATTCATAACTGAAGCCTAGTAAACTGTTTATTTGGGAGGGGGACCTGTCAGGTTGGCTGTATGGGGCCCCGTCATTTCTAACGGGCCCTGGGTGTGCTTGCTGTTATTTAGTTGTACTCTCTCACTGCCAGAATGAAAGTATCAGCCAAGTGTCAGGCCTTCTTGAAAGCCAACCTGGTTCCTGCCTGAGCTCAGAACTGATAACCGGCTCCCTATCTGAGTTTCTAGAAAAAGATAAAACTGTTGATCAGCAAAGCTTTTATCCACCTTTCAGTTTTGACGTATCTGTTACCAGTATTAAAGCCGAACTCATATTCTGCAAATAAATGATATTAAAAAATAAAAACAAACATTCTCCTATTTTTGGCCATAAATGTAGTATCACAGGATCAATTTTAATGTAGACCACATCTGATCTGGAGGACATGCCATCACTCACTGCTGCATTATCACTTCATAAGTTTGGCAGCCCTTTGCTGACATTACCACAACATCAGTGTGCATATAGACGGATGAAGACTTGGCACCAGCACTCGTTCTATTGGAAGCATCAGCACTGGTGTTGGTGGGTGTGAAAGTCCAGGGTTGCCAAAGTTCAGTTTTAATCTGACCTAACACTCATCCTGGAACTTCTTTGACAGGGTGAGAATACAGGTAAATAATCCAAAATAAGTATTCCTTTCTAGGGTGCAATATTATAAAACATCAAGAGAAAATTATTCAGATTACTACAATCGTATTCAGTTTCTTTAGTAGGTCCTGTTAGAAATTTTTTATTTTCAAACATGCCCTGCTTTATGAAAGCATTAATTTAGTTGGTTTCCAATATATCTTTGGCTGAAAAAAGCAGCCCCTCTTTAAAAGTATGCTTCTGCTTCTCCTGTGCCACCAAGAGTCCGGGACTGAAGCCGGTGGTTGCTCTGAGTGACCATAGAGATGGGCAAGGACCAGAATGTCCCTAGTCATCTCTATGGTCTAAGAAACCGGAAGCGACAAGTATTGTGATGTTGTTCATCCCCTGTGATAGCCATAAAAGTGATTTAAGAAAATTAAAGAGACAGCGTAAAAATAAAAATTAAATAAAATAAATAATAAAATGAAAAAAAAAAACGTAAAGCACCCCCCAGTCCCCTGTGCTCGTGTACAAAGGCAAAAGCTTATGTAGGTGGCGCACACATATGTACCACACATGTGAGGTATAGCTGTGAACGCTATAACGAGAACAATAATTCTAACACCAGCATAACTCTAAACATATAGCCTGTAAAGGCTTTTAAAGCGTCCCCTATGGAGATTTTTAAGTCACGTAGTTTGCTGCCATTCCACAAGCATGCACAATTTTAGTTATCTATTTACTCGGTGTAACATCTTTTCTAATTCACCAAACAATTGGGTATTATATTGTGTTTTTGTGCATTAAAATTTATGAAAGTGTATTTTTCCCCAAAAAAAATTTAATTGAAAAACTGCTGCACAAATACTGTGTGACCAAAAAAATTGCAACACCCACCATTTTATTCTCTAGAGCCTATGATTAAAAATATATATAATGTTTGGGGGTTCTAAGTAATTTTTTAGCAAAAAAAAATTGCTGATTTTTACATGTAGGAGAGGAATGTCAGGATTCCCTTGGATTGGAACTGGTTAAAGCATATACTTAATTATTTTCCAATATAGCCTTGGCTGAAAAAAGCAGTTCCTCTTTAAAAGAATGCCTCCACTAAGAATGAAAGAAACGAAATGAATCATTTCTGTGTAATCCCAAAACAAACATAAAGAAAACATGTGTCCATGTGTCAGCACTGCTGAGTAAGAATCCCATCCATGGACACTTCTGCCTTCCACGTTTAGAGAATACAGTTACAAAAATATACTCATTTTTTACTTATTTCTGACATGCAAAAAAAATTCAGAGCTACACCAGCACAATTCCTTTAAAAGCACTAACTATGCAAGTCAATGTTTTCTTAATCGTTCATATTTATTGGCACAAACGCTAAAACCACACAGCCCATGATCGTAGTTGATATTCTTTCACTTAGCACCACTATTTCTCCGTGCAGTAAAACGTGGCGTTCACATTCACAAGAGAAACTTAAGAAGCTGTTCAGTCACTTTGCAAATAAACACAGACATAGATTAGCATTAGTGGAATTTCTGTTTTCTATGCAGAGATATGAGAACAGTTATGTAAAATGTACATTTCAGTCTATGTGGCTGCTGGCCAGTTGAATCACATGCTGGTTCCTTACATCCCGTGGGAATCTCAGAGAGGAGATGTTTTTCCAATTGCACTGAACTCTCACACTGAAGCCAAATGATTCTCTATAGAGACTGTAAATACAATTTTGGAGACTAAATGTGAAACCCTCATTATTTTCTTCTGGCAGAGAAACTACCATGGGGCATCTGCTGGGGTCTCGTAAACTGATATGTTACAATTTGATTGTACAATCTCTGTACATTCCGCTTTGTAATTACCAAAAACTTATGTTGTAGGACTGCCAATCAAAACAAAATGTTCAGTTTGAATTCATTTAGGTAGGCTGTAAGGGTAGCCATACTGAATGGACTGAACAAAAGATTTCAAGTAGATTCCACCATCCGCTCTAAACCACGCGGATGAAGGATCTTCCCCTGCAGGCTAGTGTATTCCAAACTGAAGATGTCAGAATACCTGAGCATCTGACTGTATGCAGCCATTGTTTGGCCAACAATTTCAGGTTTTTTTTAGCCAGGTGGTGCCAACAGGGCGACCAACAGCTCAAAAACAGTTGAAATTGTTTGGCAAACAATGGCTGCATCCAATCATCTAATTTTGGCCAGTTTAGCAGGAATTGTCCAAATCTCAAACTATGTATGGCAGGCTTATTACTGCATACTTGTTGGTAAATCATGTGTGGCCATCATAAAGAGAACCCATCACTATGTCTACTCGATTTAAGTGGCAGAACCTCTTTAAAGTTCACCCACCAACCCAGGTATATATAAGGAATCCAGGGCACAGTCTGTCCAATTCAGGAGCCAGCATTTTTTTTATAGGAACCAGCTCCATTGACCAAAACTAGAAAAAGCCACAAACGTTAGGCACCAGCAGTAATTTTGAAGGAGCATTGACTACCTGACTCCTGGAATTTGTCCCACCTTGACTTTTTGAAGGAGCAGTAACTACCTGGCTCCTGGATTTTGTCCTACCTGGACGTAAGAGATGTAAGAAACCAGCAGGTTTTTCTATCCAGTGCACACCCAAAGACTGAAGTAACACATTGAAGATGTTGTAAGCCTTAGTCAGTGATCTAGTGTAGACACAGGTTTAACACTCAAAGTTCAGATATATCCTCTGTCTGTCCCTTTTCCTTCCTGTCCATGTGCCACATCTTACTAGACCCATCACTGAATGTCCCTTATGGACTAACATAAGGTTGTGTATCTTCTCAGTGTGATCCAGATTTGCTCAGTGCATTCACTCTTCCAGGAACAAAGTGCTGAGGCTTTCCTCCGGCCTGGACGATTTGGGTTCTATAAACTGGGAGTTGCTTCTGTGCTTGCTGGCCTGCTGGATGCTGGTTTATTTCTGTGTCTGGAAGGGAGTCAAATCTACTGGAAAGGTAAGAAGCATAGGGCTGTTGAAGGTCCATAACAATTCTAATTTTGTATATAAGAAAGTACAAAGAATGATGTTGATGATGATGAGGATGATAATGTTGGTCAAGATGAACATGATAATCAAACCCTTTTCAATCCAAAGACAATCATCTCTTCATTGACTTGGCTGTAGTAGATTACTATGGATGATTGCACCCATTCCATATCTGCTTTCTTTGTCAATATACTGGTGTAATCACATGCTGGTTGTTCTCCTTACAGTTCAAATTACGACATGAAAGGAGACATGTGTGATTGGTGGTATTGAATCTAATGCAACTTTTTTTTTTAACACAGAGGAACCCTTGAAATGAGTTTCAAGGCTCAGGGAACCCAAGCCAATAATGATTACATCTACCACTCATGGGAAATTTAAGTGGTTGTAACGGCTGAAGGTTTTTCACCTTAAAGTATTCTCAGCCCCCATCCCCCCTCAATGCGCCTGATCACAATCCAGCGCTGTGCCCAAGAGCAGCGGCGCTGCTTGCTCTCTCCCTCCTCTTTGGACTCACTGAAACCAGAGAGAGCCATTGGCTCCTGCTGCTGTCAATCAAATTCAGTGATAAGGGGGCAGGGCCGAGCTGTGCTGTGTGTTTCTATATACACACACAGCGCATATTGGGATCAAGTCTGCATGTGTGCCACCATCCTATGGTGGAGAAAAGGATAAAACAGGAGCATCAGCATGGAAATCAAGAAGAGGATGATCAGGGCTGCTTTCTGGAAAACCATTGCAAAGAGCAGGCAAGTATAATATGTTTGTTATTTTAGAAAAATAACTTTACAATCACTTTAACATGAACAGTGAATTGTGCATATAAGAATTAACAAAATACAGATAATATATATTTGACACCAAGGGGTGCTATTTACAACAAAATCGTTTTCAATAATAATAATATTAAATAAATAATAGTAATGGCCAGAAAAAAGAGACCCTGAAAGTTGTACTGCTCCCTCATATTGGTGGTCAGCAGAAGAGTCCCCCCTTACATTGATAGTCAATGATGTGCTCTCTTACATTGGTGGTCTGTAAAGTGCCCTCCTTCATTGATGGTCGATGAAATGCACCCCTTACATTGGTTGTCAGTGAAGTGCCCTCTTACATTGGTGGTCAGTAAGTGCCCCCTTACATTGGTGGTCAGTGAAGTGCCCTCCTACATTGTTGGTCAGTGAAGTGCCCTCTTACATTGTTGGCCAGTGAAGTGCCCTCTTACATTGTTGGTCAGGCAGTGCCTTTTTACATTGTTGGTCAATGAAGTGCCCTCTTACATTGTTGGTCAATGAAGTGCCCCCCTTACATTGGTGGTCAGTGAAGAGCTCTCTTACATTGGTGGTCATTGAAGTGGCCTCTTACATTGATGGTCAGTGAAGAGCTCTCTTACATTGGTGGTCAATGAGGAGCTCTCTTACATTGGTGGTCAATGAAGAGCTCTCTTACATTGGTGGTCAGTGAAGTGTCCCCTTACATTGGTGGTCAGTGAAGAGCTCTCTTACATTGGTGGTCAGTGGAGAAGAATGACATTAGATTGGTGGTATGTGTAGGAAAGACTCACTTACACTGGCGATCAGTGGAGAATTGCCCCATTACATTAGTAGTCATTGGGAAGCATACCCTCTTACAGATAGCTGAAAAACTCTTTGGTGTCAGTCACAATTGATCTAAGGGGCAGAAATTGCTCAATGCTCAAGAAACCCTAGCAACCCCTAAGAAACTTTGCAACAGATTCACAAAACATACTGAAAAAATAGATTTAGGGCCCGTTCACATGGGGTGCACCCTGTATGCATTCAGGAACCCGTACCCACAGCTGCCTACATGTTATATTAGGACACAACGGCTCTGCCGGTGCAGCCACACATTCCCAGAAGAAATGAATGGGATACCGTCACGGGGATGCAAGCTACTACAACTGTGCATCTCTATTCGGGTAAAAGGCAGCCCTGTACAGGAGACGCATGCCTACACCCTGTGTGAATGGCCCCTTGGGATTTACATACATTTTCAATTTTATTTTATCTGCAATGCCATTGCGGAGATTTTCCCTTAGGAAATGGGAGACATGGTTGTCAACAGGGAAAAGAGGAACATATAGCACTGAACATGGCCCGAAATGTCTGTTTCCCAGCATTTCCCGTTCCAGGTGGCACCAATCACCAGAGGGCAAAGAAATTTACCCCACAGATGGCAAATAAAACCTCAAACAGTTTCAACTCTTTCTTGACTCATGTTTAAATGTTCAGACATGGGGCAGTAAAAAAACAAGTTAAGATGGCCAACGGCCATGTTGGTAAACACTGGCAACATTTATACAAGAGGTCGCATTTGGCAGGCAGTACCACTGCTAAATATGAGCCATTCAAGGTAATGGGGCCAAACCCAATGGAGGGACAAGGTCATCCAGCACCCAGGGCTGAGATGCCAAACTGCAATCCCCCCCCCCCCCCATCATGATGTACAAGCTTAGAGAATCGTACATCCAGCAGTGCCCCCATCATTGCCATAAACCATTGTGTTCAGGGCAGCCGCCCCTTCTGCCCACCCCTTGTCCTGTCCCTGACCACACCACAATCACATATAATACACGCAGTTGCAGAGCAGTGCTGTGGGATTTTAAGGGTTAACACAGGAGGTGAGGAGGTGACATATCGGCTCTGAGCTGCATATCAAATGCCTACGAAAGGCGATCCAATGCAGATCATTTTTCAGAGGGGCAGCAAACAGGGCCACACATGTAAATGAGTCCTATTATCTGCCTTGATGAATAATGCTGATGAAGACTATTTCTCCGAAATGAGTAGGCACGGGAACCCTTTAACAAGCATCATGTTAACCTTTAGAATAGTAAGGTCAGAACAGCCATTCTTTCTGTAACTTTCCACCTACGACCAGCAAGCGAGGGTGGGCTCGTGTGACGTGCTTGCTTCTGAAAGACCCAAACAAGACAGCGATTGAAGCGAATGGCTGGACAGAGGCGAGCCTGTGTTCATCACACTTTATGAAAGGCTGGCGCATTCACATGGAAAAATGACAAAATAAATATGTTTTCAACAGTTTTTGAGGCTTTCCATTTCTTTCTATTGCTATATGGGTACCCACTGCACATAAATCACAGTCATAAATCAGCCCGTAAAACCACAAGGGCTGAATTAAAAAGCCAAATCTATCTTCTTAGCGTTGGATAAGGTAGAGATTAAACCTAAGAACAAAAATGGAATATGTTGCAGCTCACAAGTCCTTAGATGTGGTGGCTGCATTAGTTTTATTTGTTCTGCCCATTTTTCCCTCTTTATCTTGATCCTGCCAGTAACACACTTTTTGTCCTAGGGTGACAATGCTTATTTACTGTACTGTATCTATGCAGTAACAGTGTTGTCACGCTAGGACAGGACTATAGAACACCCCCTCCTATCTTTTCTATTGTATAGTGGTAAGATGTTTAATTGGTCCACAGAGAAACCCAGGAACAATGTTAACAGTCAGCAGGGGCAGAGAGCAAAGCTCACTGTTAGGATCAACAGATTTAGCAAAGCACTTTAACAGACCCCTGTTTTTTTTTTGGCGGGGGCGAGGTTGCCATTTGTGTCCCAGTGAAGACTTCCTGCCCTGCAGACCCGACAAGAAATCCCTGCCTAAACAATTGTTACCAGCATAACTATGCATTAGCTGCCAGCATTAGCTGTGTAACTATAAGTGCCCCAATTGGAAAAATGGCACTTTGTTCCTGAGACAACTCAACATTTTGGATTTTTTTTAACTTTCGGTCCTGGTGACAATGCCCTATTCCAGCTTTTCTCAATCAAGGTTCCTCCAGAGGTTGCTAGGGGTTATTTGCGAAAATAAGCAGTATCTGCCTCTCCAATTGACACCAATAATGATCTTTTTGGCTATCTATAAGGGGGGGGGGGGGGCTTTCTTCCTACTGACTACCAATGTAAGTACCATGCTTCCCACTGATCAGTGGTGTAATGAGGTCCTTCCCCACTGACCACCAGTACAAGTACCATTCTTTTCACTGACCACCAGTGGAAGAAGGTGCTACTCCTCTGACCTTCAGTGTTAGTACCATTCTTCCCATTGACCACCAGTGGAATGAGGTCCTTCTCCATTGACCATCAGTATAAGTACCATTCTTCCCACTGACCATTAGTGAAATGAGGTCCTTCTCCACTGACATCCAGTGTAAGTACCATTCTTCCCTACTGATCACCAGTGGAATAAGGTTCTTCTCCACTGACCTGCAATGTAAGTACCATTCTTTTCTACTGCTCACCAGTAGAATAAGGTCCTTCCCCACTAACCCCCAGTGTAAGTATCATTCTTTGCTATTGATCATCAGTGGAATGAGATCCTTCTTCACTGACCATCAGTGTAAGAACCATTCTTCCTTACTAATCATCAGTGGAATCAAGTCCTTCATTGACCACAAATGGAATAACATACTTCTCCACTGACCTACAGTGTAAATACCATTCTTCCCTACTAACCATCAGTGGAAAGGGATCCTTCTCTGCTGACCACCAGTGGAATAAAGGTCCTTCTCCACTGACCTCCAGTGTATGTACCGTTCTTCCCTACTGACCATCTGAGGAATGAGGTCCTTCTTCATTGACCACCAGTGGAATAAGGTACTTCTCTACTGACCTCCAGTGTAAGTACCATTCTTCCCTACTGACTGTCAGTGGAAAGGGATCCTTCTTCACTGACCACCCATGTAAGTAACATTCTTTCCGATGACCATCAGTGGAATGTGTATGAGGCCTTTCTCTAATGACCACCAATGTAATGAGACTCTGCCCCACTGACCACCACTGTAAAGAGACACATCACTGACTGTTTATCCTTTTATTTATTTTTATATCTACAACTTACTGTTTATGCTAATGTACTGTGAGCTGTAAATAGTAAAGTAATGTTAAGATGAGGTTCCCAGAGAGCTTCAAGGGTTCCTTCATGTTACAA